TTGGAAAGGCACCGCCTCCATCATCCTCTGAAGAGCAAGGGGAGCTCCTTCAACGACCTGCATTCCTTCAAGAAGAGGAGGAAAAGTTTGGAGGAAAGAAAAGGGCCCCAGGAGGCTATGAGGAGGATGAAAGTGAAGAGCTCAGGCGATGTGAAGATGAGGATTCTGAAGAAGATCAAGGCCGCCGTCGAAGCCGCCTTCAAGAAGAAAAAGAAGAAGAGATCATGTGGCGATGGCAGATCTCACGAGATATGAAGAAGCTGACAAGCCTGTGTCAGGATCAACAACGTGAAAATGATCGCCTTCAACAAGAGCTCTATGAATGGAGGTTGGAGGACGCAGAAAGGAAAAGACAAGAGGAAGATAAGAAAAAGAAAAAGAAGAAAGAGGAAGGTCATGTGCCCCGAAGTTCATCGACGTTCAACACTCCTGAAGAAGCAAAGCCCGAAGCTCCCAGCGTCCTGGACATGTTGGGGAGCAGGGGACGCACTCCGTGGTCTACCTACCCAGCTAGGTATGGAAAGGGGTCGAGATCTCAATCCAAAGACCCACCTCGAAAAGGAAGAAGTCCTTCGTATGGAAAGGGGTTCAAGGAGGATCCAAAATCGACTGCCCAAAGGCCTACAATGGGGGGAGCCAAACCTTCGCCAGAGATCCAGCAAATGGAGGTCATGGCATTGCTCGTCGAAAGCATGAAGGCCCTTCCACGTCAGATTTCTGAAGGGCATGAAAGTCAAGGCACCATCAAAGGTGTTGAAGTGGTGAGACAAGTTGCAGAGCTCCCGGCTTTGGGGAGCATCCAAGGCAGCACCTCACAGCTCCAGCTTGGAGATTGGCTTCTACTCGTCCAACCAGTTGTAGCTGACCTCACTGCTACATCGGATTTGTGGTGGGAAAAGATGATGGTGGAAGTGGAAAGATGGTATCAAGATCATCAAGCCATGCCACCACTAGATCGTGTTCAGCATGAGCCCGTCGCCCCAGCTTCTTTGAATGTCCCGAAGTGGGCGAAGTTGGAAAGGAGGATGGCCACCTTGCTGCTCAAAGCGATTCCTGAAGGCCAGCGTGATGAACTGGTCGCAACAAAACGCCTGTCGGTGTTTGCAATCTTGGCGCACCTCCACTTGTCCTACTGCCCTGGAGGTGTGAGTGAAAAACAAATGTTGTTGAGGAACCTTGAAGAGCCAAATGAGCCGAGCAACCTCCACGAGACGGTGGTCAGCCTTCGAAGGTGGCTTCGCTGGAGGGCTCGAGCCCAGGAGATCGGGGTCACGGCAAAAAGTCTGAAAAAGGATGAGTATGAGGAGATGGAAGAGGAAAGAAAAAGGGACCTCGAACGTCTCTCAAATGTGGTCCTGGAGGAAAGCGTGATCATGTTGAAGGATGAAGTCAAGGTGATGGACGTCGTCTACGAAGAGCTCAAAAAGGTCAAAAGTGCCATGCCTAAAGAAGAAGAGTCGGTGCTTCGAACAAGGATCGTATCCCCCAAGGAGTTGCTCAGCGAAGCACCAAAGTGGGACGAGGCCATAAAGAAAGAACTGCATCAGCTCTTCGAAGAAAAGCAGGCACTGAAGCGCATCTCGGAGGATGAAGTTGAGCACCTTCGCAAAAAATGGGGTCGTCACTTGGAAATCCTTCCATCCAAAGTTGTGATCACCCTCAAGCCTGGACCACGACGAAAGATCAGGTTGGTTGCCTGTGGAAACTTTGTGGATCAATCCACACCAGACCAAAAGGATCAATGTCTCTATGCTTCAGGCGCTGATGCCGTTTGCTTGCGCTATGTGCTGAAGCAAGCAGCTGAAAAGAGCTGGGGAGCCACGGTCCTCGACATCCGCACTGCATTTTTGAATGCGCCCCTTGATGTAGAAGATGATGGTCAAGACCCAACAGTTGTGGTGCTCAAACCTCCCTTGCTGCTCATTAAGACTGGCCACGTGGGAGTCAAGGAATTCTATTTGGCGCAAAAAGCCATGTACGGCCTGCGACAGTCGCCTCGGTGCTGGGGACTACATCGTGATAGTGTCCTTCGAAAGATGAAGTCAAAAGAAGGCCATCGATTTGTCCAGGCCGATGCGGAACCAAATTTGTGGAGCATCATGAAGGGCCAAGGAATTGATGATGACCGTGATGAGTGGCTGGTCGGATTTTTGCTGGTGTACGTCGACGATTTGATGGTGGCCAGCGATCCAACCACTACAAGCCTGATCATCAAAATGCTTCAAGATGAATGGGAGACGTCCGAACCTGAAGTGGTTGGTCAAAAGAAGGTCAAATTCCTCGGCGTGGAGCTGACCCAGGCCCCACAAGGCGGATTTCGAGCCTCCCAAGAAGACTACATCCTGGACAAGGAGGGTATCCCAGAAGGCCGAAGTGTGAAGGCGCCGATGACAAAGGATGCTCTGCCCTATCCGGAAGAACCTACGGCAGAAAAGATTACGGAAGCTCAAAAACGCAGCCGGGATTCCAGAAGATCCTCCTGTGAGAGGTCCACCAGGCAGCACAAGTTCAGAGCCCTCTCAAGGAAGCTCAATCACCGTCGACTGGCAAGGAAGAGAAGTCAACAGACCAAGTGCAAGGTCAAAAGGAAAAAGAAAAGGAAAAGGTCAAGGAAAGGGTGAGCAGGAGGAGATCGACTGGGCCTATGAGGCTTCTCGACCAAAGACCCAAGAAGAAAGGAGTCAGTTCGGCATCCAAAATCGCGAATGGCTCATCAGATGGATGTCTTCGTTGAGCCCTGAAGAAAGGGTCATGGCTGGATTGGAACAGGTTTTGATGGGTTCTGGATCTTCAGGACCGGCATCGATGGCCACCTCGTCCAACACAGATCCCAATCTAGCTGGGATTCAAGAGGAGCCTGAACAGGAGGTCCCAGCAGAGGCTGAACCTGGTGGCCCTGAAGCGATGGAGGTGGAAGAAGAAGCAACCCTTCATCATCCCACCGAAAGGGACTATCGTGACATCAGGCTGGATGAAAGCTGGGAACCAAGTGATGACCCTCCAACAGCAGCGCCGAAAGCGGCCCCAAGAAGGTTTCAGCAGGCGGGCTCAGGACGAGGAAAGAGCGAAGGAGGATCAGAAGGTGGAAAAGGGGAAAGCAAGGGCCGAGACACTGTTGGAGTCTTCATCACCAAGTTCGGCCAAAGGTACCACCTATTTGAGTCCTGCCAGTCGCTTCAAACTTCGATCTTGAGGAGCTCTCCACCGTGTCACAGGTGTGCCTACTGCAGTGAGCAGAGCAGGCTTAGAAGGGGCGAACCTATCTGGTGTAGAGGATGGGGTGAGATCTACCACCGGAACGCCCCGTCGCCATTGCCTTGCTCCACCGGCAGCGAGAAGAAGTACGACCAGTGTACACTTTGCTCCCAAGAGCTCCGAAGGCGGGGCTTGAACTTGTGATGATGATGTTCCAAGGAGGGACCCTAGCAGAGCTGTTGGTCCCTATGGCCATTTTGGCCTTGGCGAAAGAAAGTGGCTTTGAAGCCTACGGCTCATAACTGGCCTAGCTGGAAAACCTGGAAATGAATGGTTGGGCATGGAAAACTATGTTTGTTGGCTGCATTGTGTTGGGTACAATGCAGATGATGCCTGCCACACCCCGGGATAGCTGAGCTGGTGAAGTTTTGAGGAAAAAGGAAAGCACTGGTGGATCATCAACCACCTACAATGGAATAGGGCTTGAGCCTGGAAAGGGCACTGAAGCCGCAGGCTACCCTCACGTGCGGGAAGAACGGTACATCCGGGAGTACCCGTGAGGTAGCCGGAGGTTTCGCTTTTGAGGTGTCTTCACAAGAAGACAGGGGGAGTGTTCATTCACTTCCATGGAGTTTGAAGGTTCTGCATCACGCAGCCCTTTTTGTTGTGAGGGCCAGATGGCCTATCAGACCTCCCTTGAAGGAGGAGCCCCAACCAGAGAAGCGTTGAAAAAGAACAGCGGATCTGTTTTGTGCATTTGGTTTGGGAACGTGTGTTTTCGGTCATGTCCGCAGAAGGGTATCAACAATATTATATAACGCTCAGTGGTTGAGAGTGCCTCATCAATTTCCTGCGTTGCTCGGTGCTGGATGACTTCCTGGCGAGCATGCGCAATGGACGCGACGGACGGCCAATTCCGCAAATTGTCTCGCTTTGAAGGTCTCTAGATATCTAGTATATAAGTTTGCTGTTGGTCCAAACATGTCCAATCCTTTTTGACAGACTCTGAAAGCATACTCGCACTGTTTGGTACCCTATTCCACTCTTCTTGCCTTTCACCTGGTTGCCTAAGCAGACAGTGCTTCTCCTCATTGGACAATGACTTCTCTTGTCTTGTTGCAATTTTTGGGGTTCAACTCTTTCCTCTCCTCAGAAGTGCTGTTGAGGCCCAACAAAGATCTCAAGACTTCACCCGCCAGCTCTGCCTCCGCATATCGTGCAAGAAGTTCAAAGCGAAAGACAACCGGAAGCGGAATTGTGAAAACCCAAAGGCCTAACATTGAGATGGTATTTCCATTGATCCCTGTACCACCAACGACAACAACCCCAACAAATACAAATAATACAAGTATTTGCAATGTTTGCACAGAAGAAACATTTTAAAGCCGAACACAACGTTTGTGAACTATCCTTTTGGGGTTTGCAACCTTCTCTTTCCCTCAAGGCTTTGGAAACGTTGACGCCTTGCCGGAGCTCAGGAGGCCACGGAGAATCGTCTGGCAAATCCTCGGGAAGTAGAAGGATTTGAACCAGGCCCTGGCGACTCGGCTAAGAGAATGAATAGCAATGGCCTCAATGGCCTCCAACCGATGGCCTCCAACCTACTAGCAATGGCCTCCAACCTAGAGAATGTTCTCTTGACAGAACACATGACGAACCAACTTTCCAACTGTAGCCTGTTTGTCTTCAACATGATTGTTTTGTTCATGGTTGCATCACTTGAAGGCTTTGACATCCCTGACACCAGCCAGGATACTCAGAAGACATCTTCCCGAGACACGTCAACTAGTTTGATCTTTGCCAAGTCACTTTTTGTCCGCAGACAATCGGTCCTGGAGCCACGCAACAAATCTTTGTCTGCTCCAGGGTACCAAACCAACTCTATATTCTCGTTCTATGGCGCTTGAAGTTCAACCGCAGCTGCACTGGCAAGTCCTTGTGTGTTTTCAAGTAGAACCGGGCACCACGCTCAAACGCTCGGCAAGAGATGCAGGCCTGCGCGCGCAAAGCCTCTGCTTTGTGTGATACTTGTAGTTTCTGGATTTGCTTCCAACAACTCAATCTCCTAGCTTGGAGATTATCTCTAGTAGGTTGGAGCCCATGAACATCAAGCGACTTGTCTTTCCTCTGGATTGCCGGGAATTCTTGTGTGAGTAGTCGGCCTGCAGAAGAGCTGTTTGCAGCTGTGCCCCCAAGCGAAACCGGAAACGCGCAGACGCTGTCTCCGCCAACCTGAGAGCGCAACTTAAGAGCAAGGATTTGTATGAGGAGCTGCATAGTTTACACTCCAAACATCGCAAATGTGCAATGTGCAACAGCAAACAATTGCTTAACAGAACCTACTCCAGCATGGAGTTAGCTCCCATTCTTCAACAGTGAAGACCCTTGAGGGTTTGACATGTTTGAATAATGATGCGATCAAATGAAGATGCTGTATGCAGGAACGTTCAAAGAATTATATATGTGGCCTAAATATGAGGTCTGTCTGCCCTTCTTGTCGCAAGTGATTCTCACAAGCAACCAAATAGTCTAGACGAGTGGTCCGCTGGTGCGTGTTCTTTATGCAAAATGAATATGGAAGGGACATCTTCTAAGGACAACTTCAATTGCTTGTGTATTGTTCCAAGAAACCTGAATGCCTTGTCCAATCTTTTGGCATTGGCCAGCAGCCTGTGGGTTGCAGCTCGGTCTTTCGTGTCTCGAATCTTGACTTCACGCCAGGAGCCCCTAGTAGCTTCTTGCTCCTAGTAGTACAGCCAGGAGCCCCTCCTAGTAGCGATGCCAGGAGCCCCTAGTAGCTTCTTGTTACCAATGTCTGAGAGCTCAATTTAGGATCTAGAAAGTCGAGACAAGGCACTTCACCACCACGCTCAAGGTGTAGATGCTCGGCGGCAATCCTTGTGCCATCATGGCCTCCAAGAGCTGTTCTCCTTCAGGAGGAATCTCAGGCAAAACGCTGATGACAAGAAGACGACTGGAAGAACTAGACATCCACTGAAAAATCCACTGAAACCCATCCGGCTCCTTCATCAGCCATGCCAGCCTTGAGGCACCCATCCAAAAGAGTGTTGTACCTTAGACATACCGCCACTACCTTTCTGGAGACAAGGCATAAATACATCAACGCACAACTCAACGCTAAGCGGCCGAATCGTCGCAGACAGGCCATGAGAAACAAACGTGACATTTCCACAAAATGCACCACTAAAGATATAGCATTGTGATGAGTAAACGTCAAAGAACCGTTTAAAGAGAGCATGGACTCTGAGAAGTACGGCCACATGAGATTTTGTCACCATGGAATACTACAGTACTGACTTTCCTGAATGCCCCACTTCAAACAGGTTGTTTGTGCTCAGTGATATGAAGGGGTTGAACTCTCCGATCCAATCCCGCCCCCATCATCGCTTACTCCAAAGGCACACGACCTCATCAGGGCTTTCAGGTCCCTTCTGAAGCTGCTCAAAGATGGCAAATGCGGACTGCATGTCGCCGCTTGCACAGAAGCCCTGCATCCAAACTCAGACCAGTTTGAAGAAAAAGACTGCACTCGCCATTCCTCACTTTGAGAACCGGCCTTGATCATGGTGCTGTGTGTGATTAGATTTGGCTCCAGACCGTACTGCCGCATTTCTTGCACAAGTTCTGTTACCTACAACGAGCTCGAAGAATACTCCAGGCATTCTGAGCAAAAACATGAATCCTTTTGCTCCATTGATTGCAAGTCATACAATTGTTGCAAATTTGATTCCAAGTGTGAAAATCTTCCAGCTCGCCGCCTTGCTCATCTCTTCATTTCTTACACAGCCGTCCATGATGGCGTTAAAAGTCATGAGAGTTGGAGTGATGCCTTGGAGAGGACAGTGTTTAGGTTAGCAAAAGAAAACACAACATAACGATTCATTGATGGACAGTCTGAAGCTGGATCGCTCTGAAGTCAGTCATGTCCTAAAGGATCCCACAAAGGCCGAGATGCCGTGGATCTTCATCTCATTGAAGGCATCCCAGACACGATCCATTCGCTTCTTGCGACTAAAGCCTTTCAGGATGGAGCCGTAGATTACCGCATTCACCTGCACTTTCGCAGTCACAAAATGGAGAAGAGAATCAACACCCTGATACGCGAGTATCGAGAAATCTGAAAGGTGCACGTTCAAGACCCAAATAACAACTGCTCGAAGTGTCGAATTGAAAGCATGTGAAGTGCAAAGGCATCCAAAAGATTGCTCAACCAACAGATTAGTCTCGGTACAATTTACGATTACAAATTACAAGTCTAATAGGCAAAAATTGGGGCAACAATCTTGGGCATGTTCAATGGAGAATGTACTGGTATCGGTTTGGTCCCTGCAAACAGCAGAAGTAAAAAGTGTTTATCAAAACCTTAATTTCCTCCTCTGACTGCTTAGAGCTAAACGACTCCCCATTCATATAACCTGCGCATGAAAAGGGGTGTTGGTTAATCTTGAATCTTTTGGCACTGGCTCAAAAACTCCTCTTTCGAGTGTTTAAACAAATATTGCTTTATTTGGTGTCATAGAATCTTCTCCCACAATTGTCCCCATGCTCAAGCCAATACAAACTCCGGGAACCTTCCTCAATATTCATCTCTTTGCATCTTCATTCCTGATAATACTACCGTCTGCAGTACTCGCTTAAGCCTGAGAATGGGAGAACGAAAACCAATAGAAACCAGCATGCACGCCCTGGCTGCATAACGATATAGTTATTACGTTGTGTCCACTCACTCACTCACTCACTCACTCACTCACTCACGCACTCACTCACTCACTCACTCACCTCCCACTTGTCACCAACCACTTGTCATCAACCGATTGTCATCAACCAACAATTGTCACCAACCAATTACTACCCACCAGTTGCCATCAACTACTTCTCACCAACAAGTTGTCACCAACAAGTTGCCACCAACAAGTTGTCACCAACCAATTGTCAACAACCAGTTGTTAACAACAAGTTTCCACCAACTAACTGTCGCCAACCAATTGTCATCAATTGTCATCAACCCATTGCCATCCACCAGTTGTCACCAACCCCTTGTCATCAACAAGTGATTTGCTTGCCAATTGTCTTCTCCAGGGGTCGGATGTACGCCGCGGTGCTGGCCGGAGCTGCTGGGTGGGTCTCCCGCCGTTGTGCCGCTGTGATTTGCGTGCGTGCTGTTCAGAAACACTGTGTTTTACAGGGCTTCGTGGGCGTGGAAGATCCAAAATTTGGACAATGGCGAAATGCAAAAACTGTGGGCTCTACAAGCGTGGTGTCGGTAACGCGCGCCGCGCGGACGTGCATAATCGTATTTTTTTTGGTGGTGGGCCCGTGTCAACACAAATGGCGCAATATGTACCCCAAGATGACCCAACAGAGGCCCCCAAGATAGGTCCAAGATGGGTTAACATAGCCCCAAGGTGGGCCAACATAGGTCCAAGATGGCCCAACATAGGCCCGAGGGCACAACAAAGGGCCGAGATGGGCCAACATGGGCCCAAGCTGGCCCAACACAGGGCCAAGCAGGCCAACATGGGCCCAAGATGGGCCGCCAACAACAACAACAACAACACACCAATTATCGGATAACCCCACTGGCCGGTGCTGGCCGGTGCTGGTGGGTCTCTGCCCTTCTGAAAGGGTTATTTTTGATGGCCTGTTGTGTTTTTTTAATTGTCCTCAACCAATTGTCATCAATCAATTGTCACACCAACCAATTGCCACCCACCAATTGTCACCAACCACCTACGCAGACATTCTCTCTGCTAACATGTGGGGTTATCCGGTCCTATAATAGTATATATTGTGAAGGGACTGTGGAGCATTGTGCAAACGACTTGCACAAACACTTTGCTGATGCAAATGATGCCACGACAGTGGATGTGCATCATCAACTCATCCAAAATTGCCTCCACCTAAGGGCTGGCTTTCATATGTAACTTTAAACCATTTAGGGATACTGAATACTCGCATCAGCCCCCATCCTACCAACACTTCAGCGCATGAGCTGCAGCCTGGGTCTTGGTCTCCTTATCTTCAAGGAGCCTTTGGATGAGTTCGTGAGCACCATCCACATCTCCATTGCTGGCGACAGCCTGCTGAGCCACTCCAAACGCAACGCCTTCGACTCACTGTACAGACCTTCATGCTATCTGTGGTCCTTTATTCATCCACGTTTGACTCCTCAGGCCACTTTGCACCGACATGTATGCATCAAGCAAACGCATTTTAGTGGGTATGGATGTTGGCAGACTTGCTTGTCTACGGTATTCATGTATATACAGGAAGCAAATTCTTTATGACTGTTTCCTGACTCTACCTTTCTGCAAGCCACTTCGCCTCAACCATGCACCCAAGTGTGATGTTCGTGGGCCTCAGGATCCACCACAGGCGAAACGAAGAAGTTTCGAAGATCCGAGCTTCCTGAGACATCCTGAGACCGCCAATAGAAGTTGCTAGGAGCTTTGTCGATGCGGAGAGTCTTTTCAGTGTGTCTTTCATATCTCAATTTGGGAGTCTTTTGCTTTGGAGTGTCCCTGCACGACTGCTGCTCAAGCTTGACATATATTGTTTCATGCGTTGTTTCACCTTGTGCCTAAGAGATTTTCTAGGATGCACTTTGTCTTTCTCGAATCTGGCTCTAAAGAATCAACAACACTGTCACAACGACGTGGCATTCCCATCAACTTAGGACACTCCAGCTGACATAAAGCCTGGAACCTATAAATTAACCACAATGTATTCTGTCAATATCATTTGGAAATCCAAGCAGCTTGAGGTGTTGCATGGACATCTCTCGCCAGCAATTCCATGCACCAGCTACATCCTTGACGAAACCATATGCCTCGATCAAAGCTCAAAAAAATATTCCTAAAGCACGCGGTCGTTTCACAAAACACAAGACGGTTTAATTTGTATGCAACCGCTCCCGCCTTGATCAACGATCCAAAGCTGTGAGCACCAGTGATCTTTACAGGGCACTCTGCGTCCTCGCCATGGAAGCACTTCAACTTCTTCTGCACCAGCTGGACCTCCAAATCTGCTTTCATGCCACTCTTCCTTCGTGACAATTTCCGTTCTACAAAATGATAATATATATCCGCTTCCCGCTCAAGAAAAAGATGTGCAACAGGGTCCATGTTGCCCGTCCCCCTGCCTTGCCCACACGGACCCCAGCTTCTAGGACAGTGCAAAGCAAGCCTTCGTCCACCTGAAAACAGTTTTGGTATACACCTCTTTATGTATCATTCAACTCTCTCTCTCTCTCTATGCCACGTGTAGTCTGACATTGCAGCTGATCGACCCTTAGTCTGGCAGCGAGACTCACTCCTTTTTGACGAGACATGGGCCCATTCTAGATGTGAAAAGCCAACCAGTTCATCATCATTGAGATTCAAAACCTGAAGGCCTCAAGCGATCATTGAGCCTTTCACTGCACTAGAGTGAAGGTCACAATTGAACGTGCTAGCACTATCCAAACGACGTCAGAAGTGTCAGCAAAATCATCAAACTAGATTGGCAAAACCGAGAGCTCCTATGCGCCATCCTGCACTCCGCAAACCATGTTGCCTGGAACAGCAACGTCAATCTTCTTAGGGTACGGCAGACCGAGATTGTCCATCAAATGGACAAACTCATCCACAGGTTTGGTCAAGCGGGGATTGAATCGCCGCTCTTCCTCAACTGTGGAGACATTGCGGCTCTTGTAGTCATGGCCTGGGCAAACGAAAGTGTCACCTGGCAAGGTAAAGATTTGCTCATGGACATTTTTGTAGAGAAGCCGAGCATTGCCTTGCTGAAAGTCCGTCCTCCCACAACCACGGATCAAGAGGGTATCACCGGTGAAGGCAAAGCCTGCAGTTTTGGTCTGCAACAGAAAGGTCATACAGCCATCAGTGTGCCCGGGAGTGGCGCGGGCTTCCAAGCGAAGATTGCCAAAGTTGATCTTGTCTCCATGCCTGATGTGTAAATCAGCCTTTGCTCCTGAGGCTTCTGAGATGATTGTCTGGACCTCCGGCATTTGCTCACGGATCTTCCCTCCAGAAGTGATGTGGTCTGCGTGGCAATGTGTGTTGATGACATACTTCAGGCGCAAACCAAAGTTCTTCAAACCTCAAGGTCGCGATCCTTTTGTTCCAAGACCGGGTCAATCAGCACTGCCTCCAAGGTCTCAGGACAGCTCACCAGGTAGGTGAAGGTGGAGGTCTCTTCATCGAAGAGTTGTCGAACTTCCGGGCTCCGGGAAATCAATGGCCCGGCGCTGCCCACTTCAGGCAGACGACTGGTCAGCCATTGCTGCGCTTCCGGCCTAACAGTGTCCAGGCTCAGATCTTTGATCAACATCTCTGCACAGCCGGATGTGTAACCGCGCTCCTTGGCCAACCAAGGCAAGAATGCGACGGCTGCTCGATTGGCTGAAGTACATTGGATCATCAAAGGCCTGGGCATCTCTGCAATGGTCTTCACCAATTGGTCTACCAAACTTGATGACAGGTCCTTGGAGGGCTTAAAGGGCAAGACTTCTACCTTGGAACCCTTGGACTTGATAGTCTCTGGCATGAAGTGTGGATCAGACTCAGGATTCACATAGAGCCACCCTTTGCAATGGTCGGCCAATTGGCCCACCATCTTCTCGGGGAGGTCACCACTCACCAGCACGTCACCAGGCAAGCATGGTGCTCGCACTGGAAACTCTTTTGCAATTTCTCCCAGGTCCAAAGGGTTTCCACTCTTCCCAGTGGAGATTGGCTCATGAAACTTTGCGGAGCCACAGCCCATCTTCGGTTGGGGCAAAAAGGTTCGGAGTAGTCAGATCACACTGCGGTGCCGGGAATCGCACTCGAGACAAAGTCACACGATCTGAGACTGCTCAATGTTCTGTCACGTGCATCCCTAAACAAAGGTTGAATGACGAGGGTTGACTGCGTGGAATCCTACCCTTGTTGCAGCACATCTGATTTTCCAATTGTATAGGCATCTCCTACTTTTGCAAGAGTTGCGCAAGGCAACAAGTCAAGAGCCCGTCCTGGTGTTGGATGGTTTCCACCAGCTGCATGGCGCGATTGATCTCTGAACTGTGGGACTTGGACCTGGCAAATACGAGAGCTCAAACCCTCTTCTGTAGTGCCTCTGCAACAAAAGAAGTATGGTAGCGTCCTTGCTCCTAGTAGCGATGCCACAAGCCCCTAGTAGCGTCCTTGTTCCTAGTAGTGAGGCCAGGAGCCCCTAGTAGCGTCTTTGCTCCTAGTAGAGCACGTGTGCAACATTATCCTCAGGGGCTTGGTTTGGAAGCGAGATGCTCACACAAATTAAACGCGAGGCCTCAAGCTTCGCAGCAAGTTGGACACCAAAGCCTTGTTGGGCATCACTTGGTCTTCCTTCATCTCCTCAAACCACAAAAATGAGAGTGTTGTAAATCCTTGTCCAGGCATTGCAAATAAATAGGAGTCTGCTCTTGAAACTTGACTCGCCAAGCTGCATTGACAAGTTCCCAGGCTCTTGTCCTGTCGGGAAAGCTCGTTATTTGTAGGGATGATTTGGATGATTCCTGAAATGTAACCTTGAGACTATTTACAGCACCCAACCTCACCCAGGTGTCTCGTTTGCTCTTGAAGGTTGCTCTGTTTCATCCCACTGTTGGACTCACAAGCATGCCTGTCCTGTGATTTTCCTTCCCGGTTTTCAAGAGTGCACTGATGAGCTCATGGTAGGTCACGGTGTTTGGCATGTGTGTAGGATCCTGACCTGGGGATTGACAGGGCCATTTTTACGTGAATGGTTTCGGCCAGATGCATCAGATAGGATAAAACATTGTATCAAATGCATCTTCTCTAAAGGCGAATTAAGAAGCGGGCGCATTGTCAGCAACAAGGCGCAGGCTTGGTCGAAAAGATTGTGCCGCACATAGGCTTTGATCAATGTGTTATAGGACACAGCATCCATGACCTTAGTTCCACCATGTTCCACCAATCAACAGCCTTTGCAGCATTTCAGGGAGATACTTGCTTGAACGCTAAGCGAAGTGCTTTCTGCCACCAAGCGACTCCTGCATCCTTCATTCGCTTTGCCAGCATCTTCGCCTGGAAGTATCGCTTTTGCGCAGCGTTCTTTTGCTCTCTCTCTCTCTCTCTCGTTCGGGTGCAAAGAACTCTTAATGTTATACAGATCTCTCTCATTCTCGTGAAACAAAGACAATCAACAAAGCTCGAGCCTTCTCGAGCTCACCATTTTCTACACACGTGTCCAGGGCAATATTCCAAGCCGTGCTGGGCAGCTTGCCAGGACCATCCAACCTGAAACGAGCGAGAAAGAGAGAGGAAGGAACGAAACAAGACATCTTGAGCAGAAGTTTCGGCACGATGTGCATGGCATTGATTGTGACAAAAACAACCCAACTGCAAACTCCCCAATCTTTTGCCGAAGCACAAGCTCAAGACACCATCAATATCATTGTTCTTGCCTTGCGCAGCGGTGGTTCATTCTCTTCATGCAACCGGCAGCCGCCCAGGCTCTTTGAAATGGTTCCCTAAGATGCTTTGTCCTTTCAAGCTCTACCAGTTCTTGTCAAGATGCTCCACCCACGCACCATGGCGACACCTGCACAAGTATCAGCAAAGCTGCCAGTGATATCCCCGGTGATCCCAACTGACTCGAACACATCCCTGAGAGTCATATATTTGAAGAGGAGTGTGATTATGCCTTACCTTGCAAACGTCTTTGTGCATTATTTTATGCAAACATCAACTCACAAAAAGTGAAAGACTCTGTGTCACAATCTCTGCTCATTGGCAAAATCACAAAAAGGCCTTTTGTTGGATCTTCACTCAGCTCTTCAGCAATGTCCTTCAAAAATCATGCGCACTCAATCACACGCACTTAGTCAAAATGTGTGTCCTGTCGATTGAGGGTGTTGGCAGCTGAGAGGAGACAGTGCTCGGTTCGCCCATCAATGGGCGGTCTTTGCGACCTTTCGATAAGCAACGCAAGACTGCAAGGAATCCAGAAGTCCTGTCTGAATGCTGAGGAATACTGAAGAGTGTATCTACTTGTTGTCTTGGACCTTTTGCTTCTTTGACCTGTTCAAGGTTTGACATACTATTGCTGCAAAGATGCGGTTTCCCATCCTTGTCCTGCGTGAACCGTCTCAATAGCAGGTCTGAAGCTGAAACACTTTGTTGGAGTGAACAAGGGTTTCCTTGCAAGGGCACCAACGAAAGCCTTTAAGCAGTCTTTCGGAAGAATGAAGCGGTCAGTTATAATTTGTCATCTCCAACTCAGGAGCTATGTAAATGTACAAAAATGGTTCCTGGGCTTTAGCCTGCCCAGGGTTTATCATGGTTTATCCCTCTTCTCCCCTTCCTGTCTGCAATGTCTCCTTCTTCTCTGTCAGGGTATCGTAGAGCTCCAAGGCCTTCTCAGGTCTGCCAGCCTCCACGTAGAAGCGCATCAAGGCCATAAAAGCGGGAGCCTCCATCAAGCACATGTGCCCAGGTTGGCCCAGGAAAGCTTGAGTGCAAGAACAGACTCATGCTTCATTGTTGTGACTTGCGCCAACCAGAAATACACGAAAGATATACTTTTTGTGAAAATAGCTCTTCCGCTCAACTAGTCCCACCTGGTTACCCTCCTCGGGTTTTAACATCTCTGAAAGTCGTTCCTGGGCACAAGCGTGAAGTTTACGAAACCTGGATTTCTCTATTGCTCTCCTGACCAAAGAGACTTGGAGGAGACTCCTAGTACTACTTGTCTCTCTCCCTCTCTCTTTTCCTTTGTCGGTACTTTGGTTGATTTGTCTGGAAGTGCTGCTAAGACACAGCCAGCTGAACATCACCTGTCTTGGTGCACACTTCCAAGACAGCTTGCGACATCATGGCATCCACCTGGCCTCGGTTCGACTCAAAGCTGTCCAATCCAGCAAATCCCAGTAGAAACTCCGGTAGCGCCTGCAGCACTGACCTCTTCTAGAAGGCGACGGACTTCTTTCGCATCTTTTTCGGAACGCACCAGCAAGCTGTAGGTGCCTTTAACAATGCGGTTCACTCCATCAAAGGCTTCTGCAAAATAGAGATTGGTGTGAAGTTTCAAGAGATCAAGGGCCCTCCAAACAGGCATTTCTCCGAGTGGCGGCTATTCTTTTCCACCTGCTGCTGTTGTGCAAGCTCCAACGCCTGCAATTCAAATCTCAGGAAGGCAAAGCGTGCAATATATGATTGAACTGCTGGACCGACGAGGAGAACTATGCATTTGCCCTGCACTCTACTTGAAAGGTCCTTGAATCCTGAGGAATTCCAAGCTCTGCAAAGTAGAAATGGAATCTGAAATGCCGGAAGAGCTGTACTGTGAGGCGCTTGATTTCTCAACCCTACAACTGGACGACGTGATGAGTCTAGTCGTGTGCTCTCAACCTGATGTCATCCCGCCTTCTTAGCGACTTCGGGTTGCCCACTTCGGATAGATTCATTCAGCATCAGATTCAGTGAGTCAGTCTCAGCTCCACATTCGCAGCACGGAAATCCACATCAACCCACATTGAATATGATGAGACTTGACTTGAGGCATCTGGGTGAAGATCAACATATATATATATATGTATGTATATATGCAGGCGGGTTCGTTTAAGACCCCAATGCATTTGGCCGCTGTATATATTCGCATGGTATTTACACACTGTTGTGGTGGTCGCCAAGGACATTTATGCGCGGTAGAGGTGCGCCCCTGTCGCGCACTGTTTCTGGCTTTGTTGAATTACGCAGAAGGCATACGTATCTTGGAGGGTTCGTCAGCATTGTCATCGCTATCACAACATGGTCATGGTCATCACAACATTGTCATCGACATCACAACATTGTATTCGATATCGTACGTTGTTATATATCGGTACATTGGGTCTCATTGTTATCTGGAGACCCACCCCACAATCATCGTCGACAACCAAAAAAGGCATAAAACGTGGAAAACGTTGTGATTTTCACAAACGTCCCAGTGTCCGAAGTGAACCCATCGGGATAGATAGATATATATATATATATTATATACAGCCGTCAATTCCCTTTTTGCCCCCAAGAGGAAAAGAATGTGGGAGAAGTAACCTGAACCTGTACCTTTCTTGTTGAAACTATAGATCAAAAAAATGATAGCCGCTTTGCACGCTTCTTTGCAAGCAAACAGCCGTCATGGGAATTTGCAAAGATTCCAATTTGGGCAGCACCTCATCCAAGCGCCTCGGAGCCAGAACCAAACTCACTAGAATCAATCTGTCCAACTGTTCAACTGCACTTCACCAAACATATTCCCTCATATGGTACTTTACACAAATCCTCTGGGGAACACCTTGACTCCTATCTGTGCCCTTTGGTGTCAGGACACCTGTCACGGCAGGCAATCTCCACCAGCTGTGTGGCCACGTGTTTCGGCAGCTCAGGCAGCTCCGCATAGCATTGCAAGGCCTCACCTCAGCGCTGCACGAGGAAAGTGTTGGCGTCAGAGGAAACACGAACAGAAAGGAAAGGGAGATGAGAAAGAAGACAAATGGAGAAAGGTCAGATCGATTGATGCTCATGTTTGGTATCAAGCAACTATCATCGGAAAATAGAAGAATTAAAATATACGGAACGAATGTGTCCAAGTTGCTGAGGCAGCCCTCCTCCAGCCAGAAGGCTTTGACAAACGAATAAATATCAGCACTCTATCACAACTGACACCAACACTCACAAATATAATGATGAGATGCGATTGTGGCATCATTACATTATGGTTTGACTACTCTCAAGTACGCTCCT